GGCACCACTGTAGATGGTTTAAGAAGGGCCTGAAGATGTCCAGTTAAAAAAAAAAGGTACTTTTGATATTGTGTTGCAATCTATCGATTCCTGCATGCGCCATTCACAGCATGGGACCAGTGACTAGGATGTTAGACATAGACTAAGGTGGAGCCATGGTTTTCCCAGTAGTGATGTATGGAAGTGAGAGCTGGACCATCAAGAAGGCTGATCGCTGAAGAATTGATGCTTTTGAATTATGGTGCTGGAGGAGACTCTTGAGAGTCCCATGGACTGCAAGAAGATCAAACCTCTCCATTCTGAAGGAAATCAGCCCTGAGTGCTCACTGGAAGGACAGATCGTGAAGCTGAGGCTCCAATACTTTGGCCACCTTATGAGAAGAGAAGACTCTCTGGAAAAGACCCTGATGTTGGGAAAGATGGAGGGCACAAGGAGAAGGGGACGACAGAGGACGAGATGGTTGGACAGTTTTCTCAAGGCTACCAACATGAGTTTGACCAAACTGCGGGAGGCAATGGAAGACAGGAGTGCCTGGCGTGCTCTGGTTCATGGGGCCATGAAGAGTCGAACATGACTCAACGACTAAACAACACGAAGGTGGAGCAGGTTCAAATTCCCACATGCCCACAAAGCTTACTGGTGACCTTGCAATAAGATGGCAGGGGACGGATGGGATTCTGTCCTGAACTCCTCGTAGGAAGAGCAAAATAAAAATATGTCATGGAATAAATAACTGCATGCACAAATCTTTGCATTCTAAGCTATAGAACTGAAGCCAAGAGGCAGGTTGAGGAGCAAGAGAAGGCAGAGTAGATTTAGAACAGTTGTGGGGAGGCTTCAAAATGTTGGAGAATATTATCTTATGGTCAAGCTCATTAGGGTAGCTGAATAAATCAGAGCTGAATAAAAGTGATTGTCCTTTATCTGCGCATGCCCTTATTCAGCAAAGTCCTGCATCTGCCGGAAGATTGGACTCATGCCCTTCTGTGAATAGCAAACAGCCTTGGATGCTTGCCTCGTGCCCACTTTTTCAGGAACAGTTGGCTGTGAGGAGGGGGCGACCGTGGTTACAAATACTTGTGATTGTTTTCCCCTCCTTTCAGATGTATCGGAACAAAATGTTCAGGCCGTGGCCCATCTCCCTCTGCTTCTCAGGCTACGGATGGAAAGTTGTGAGCGAGTTCATTATGGTGCGATAAATCCGCCAATAAACTTGCATGCATTGTCACTGCGGAAGTGTTGGGGCAGCTCGTGTTCCTTAGTGACAGCGGCTTGGCACAGGATGCCGCAATTATCAACAGAGAGAGATTTTGAGAGAGAAGAGGAAGAAGAGGAAGATAGATGGATATATTTTGAGAGAGGGAGACTGGGAGAGAGATGCAATTCAGAGGGAAAGGGCATGCCTAGGTGTAGACAGCACAGAAGCATTGTAGCAAGTGTGTTGTTTTGCTGTGGGGCAAAAATAATAGTATGTAAATTATTATTAATCCTACCAGAAACTCAGTGGGGGGGAACCTGTGGGTGCAACTTCTGTTCCATTCATTTTGTTTAGTTGTTTATATGTGGGATTTTTTTTTAACTGCATTTTGGTGTTTGCTTTTTATTTTCCTTTTAATGTTTAAGAGAATCTTTTGTTTCATTGTTAATTGCATTACTTTAAATGTGAAGTATAGAATGGGAAGAAATGGAGGCCGTGAGAGATTTTACTTTCTTGGGCTCCATGATCACTGCAGATGGTGACAGCAGCCGCGAAATTAAAAGACGCCTGCTCCTTGGGAGAAAGGCGATGGCAAACCTAGACAGCACCTTAAAAAGCAGAGACATCACCTTGCCGACAAAGGTCCGTATAGTAAAAGCTATGGTTTTCCCAGTAGTGATGTATGGAAGTGAGAGCTGGACCACAAAGAAGGCTGGTTGCTGAAGAATTGATGCTTTTGAATCATGGTGCTGGAGGAGACTCTTGAGAGTCCCATGGACTGCAAGAAGATCAAACCTATCCATTCTTAAGGAAATCAGCCCTGAGTGCTCACTGGAAGGACAGATCCTGAAGCTGAGGCTCCAATACTTTGGCCACCTTATGAGAAGAGAAGACTCCCTGGAAAAGACCCTGATGTTGGGAAAGATTGAGGGCACAAGGAGAAGGGGACGACAGAGGACGAGGTGTTTGGACAGTGTTCTCGAAGCTACGAACATGCGTTTGTCCAAACTGCGGGAGGCAGTGGAAGACAGGAGTGCCTGGCGTGCTCTGGTCCATGGGGTCACGAAGAGTCGGACACGACTAAACAGCAACAAATGTGAATCATAATATATTTGGATCTGATTCTCATTTGTAATGTGTTATTTTTTATTTTTCGCAGTGTTCTATTTGATCATTTAAGGCAGCTTGAATCCTACTTTGAAATTCCTTTGGAAATGTGAAGTGGTGTAGAAATGATAGGCTGTGATACTGGTGCTGGCTGAACTGTTGTACATTGAGATTTAGGTAGCTCCCCATCATCAAGTCAAATGGCCAAATATCAACCTTAAACCCAGCATGCATTTTTTTCTTTCTATATGGTCTGCCACCAGTGGCAAAGTAAGTTTTGGACATTTACTGCACAAGTAGCCTGCTGTATATATTCCTCAGAAAGGCCACGGTTCAGTGGTAGACCATGTATAGAAGGTCCCAGGGTCACTCCCTAGCTTCTCCAGTAGTAGGGATAGTTTAAGATCCTAGCATGAGCACTTGGGAGCTTGACAATACTGGGCCTGATGGGACATTGTATAAGGAAGATTCATATATTGGAAACATGTGCTGTGGAGGGTGACCAAGATGATAAAGGGTCTGAAAAACAAGTCTTATGAGGAATGGTTGAGGGAGTTGGGTGTTTGGCCTGTAAAAGAGGTGATATGGTAATCATCTTCAAATATCTGAAGGGCTGTCACATGGAAGACAGAGCAAGCTTGTTTTCTGCTGTTCCAAATAACAGGAAAGGAGATTCCAACTAAACTTTAGGAAGAACTTTCTGATGGCAAGAGCTTCTCAACAGTGGAACATACTACTTCTGAAGGTTGTTGACTCTTCTTCACTGGAAGTTTTTAAACAGAGTTTGGATGGCCATCTGTCAGGGATTTAGCTGTGATTCCTGCATCGCAGGGCTTTGGACTAGATGACACTTAGGATGCCTTTCTTCATGACAGTTCTATAATTCTGTGTTCGTAGAGGCAGGTTCTGAGTTCAGCAAGCCTGATAGCCTAGTTTTACATTTTCAGGGCCCTCTTATTATGAGTCATATCTGTTGGCATTTTGGAGCCATCAGGTCAACGTGAAAAGCAACGGTGGGGAAACTTATGAAGCTGGCAGGCTGCATCCTTTACCTGTTGCATCATCCTCCACTGGCCATTTTGACAAGAGGATGGGGTTGATCAGTGGCGCCTGCAACCACTGCTTATTTTGTCTGGGCCAGTGTTTGATTTACACTATAAAGCAGGGGTAGAGAACCTTTATTCCCCACTGTGCCTGTCCTACCTCTCATGGATCAAATGTGACAGGTGGGTGGGACCTTTCAAAGAGCCTTGCTCCAGGAGTGGTTTGCAGTGAAACTCCTGCTAAAACAGAAGCTTTCACTCTTGCTCTACAGGATCATCTGATATAAAGGGAAGCAGACAAAAATAAAGCAGCAACAGCAGCATTGTCATAACTTTATCCTTTTCGTATCATCTCAAGTAACATCTCAAAAACAGGAATAGTTGTTCAGTATAGTTTGTGACATTCATATGTGTGTATGGTCTGGTATTTTAAGTACCAAGACTGCAATCCTGTACATATTTACATGGTGGTAAGTCTCATAGAATTCAATGAGGCTTACATTTGAGTAGACATGCCCTGTAAATATTTTTGTAAGCAGGGAAAGAAAGAAGAACAGGCATCAAAGAAAATGGTGACGGGTCCAAGTTTTAATGCAGTAAGACAGTTTTATCCTGTAGCAGACAATTGCCCAGGCTCTGATGGCCATATTGTTGCCAGTTGTCTTATTTCTCCGTTTAACCTCAGAGCAAGAGTGTAAATCATATTTGCTAGAATGAAACATTTTATTTATCCTAGTTGTTGAATGAAACAGACAGAGTAAGTGGCAGCTTAATTTAAGAGGAGCAAGCGAGGAGAGCCACAGAGTAGGCTGGATTTAATTAAAGGAAGACCTACTTTATCTTCCTAGGTTATATGAATTTCCCCCCTCACCCCCCCCTCAGAAATTTTCTTTGCTGTGCAATAAAGGGGAGCAGCTGTTAAAGAAATTTTAAAAAACGGAAGTGACAGGAAATAAACACAGCCTGTCTTTCAGTGTTTTCCTCCTCTTAATTTATTTCTTGAAGCAGCAGCATTCAGAATTGTTTTTTTCAGAGCTCACTCTGCTGCGGTGATCAAAGACATCCCAGGATGACGGACGACCTTGATCTTGTCAAAAAGAAACACACTTTCCCCCTCTCTAAGCCTTTTCAACCTAACCTGTACGCCATTTTAACAGCAATATCAAAGTATTTCATTCTTGTGCTCCACCCTCTGTTGGCTTTGCCTCTCCACATCAGAATGTGGCCCCTGGAAGGCTGGCCAGCTCTGATATATTTCAATTCCATTTTATGTATTTTATGTTCAATTCCCCCTTTGTTTAGGGGTAGGGGAAATGTATACCTCATGCATAATATGAGTAAATGGTTAGGTCTAACCAGAAGGAAGCTGAAGAAGGTGTTGGGGCAGATTGAAACGATTGTCAGGTCACATGATTGGTGGGTGGGCGGAGTTTGTTAGAAATGGCCATGTGAGCCTGAATGGTCCTGACCTCTGCATTAGCTGCTTGACTACATGGCCAGGTAAAAAGGGAGGAATCCTGATTTGGGGCAAGACTTGCCAAGTCAACAGAGCAAGAGCATGCTGGGATTTTACCTGGGCCCACTTCCCAAACTGCTGCTCTCCTTGGCCAGGAAATTCATTTCTAATCCTTGCTTTACCTTCATTTTGCAGTTGTCCAGCACATCAAGCGACACAACATTGTTCTCAAAAGGGAACTGGGAGAAGGAGCCTTTGGGAAAGTCTTCTTGGCCGAATGTTATAATCTGTGTCATGAGCAGGAAAAGATCTTGGTTGCAGTGAAGGTAAAACGGACCAACTTTGTTGTGGATATAACGGTTGGTGTTTGTTGCCATTGAATTGTCTCCAGCTATAAATGGTTCCTGTAAAACATGGGTGAGGAACCTGTGGCCCTCCATATGTTATTGGACTCCAGCTCTCATTGGCCCAAGCCAGCATGGCCAACGGTCAAGGATAATGGGAGTTGTAGTTTAGCATCATCCATAGAGTCACAGGCTTCTACCTGCCCTGCATTGTTGAAAGTAGGCTGCTATTAACATCTTGCAAATGTTAATAGGAAGTCAGGAGATTCCTGTGAAAATGCCTAGAAGTAGGTTGTGGCCTACCTGAAAACCATACCCTTTTGAAGGAGAACCTTGTCATAATCTCGATCTCACATTCCAGTTGCGTTTATTCAGGGAAGAAAAAGCACTCTGCAGATGTTTGAAGATGCACTCTCTCTTGCTTCACGTGCTCAAGAGTTGAGCCCTAGTACAGTACTGCAAACATGTTCCATGGCTGAACATTAGAGATAAAGTGCTCCTTGCTGTGGCTCTCATTCCTAAATGGTTTCTTACAGCATGGGGGATAATTTAATTAGATCTAGATTTTTAAGCAAACTTGTGCATGTGAGGCCACCTATGCACTTAGTTTGTGTGTCAACCGGTACAGTGGTACCTCGGGTTAAGTACTTAATTTGTTCTGGAGGTCCGTTCTTATCCTGAAACTGTTCTTAACCTGAAGCACCACTTTAGCTAATGGGGCCTCCTGCTGCCACTGCACCGCCGGAGCACGATTTCTGTTCTCATCCTGACCTGAAGCAAAGTTCTTAACCCGAGGTAATATTTCTGGGTTAGCAGAGTCTGTAACCTGAAGCATATGTAACCCGAGGTGCCACTGTACTATGTGCCTGGAGAAAAGTACTAGCATTCCAAGAATTATGCTTTTTCTTCAAGTCTTCATTATCTGTTTTTTTAAATATATGAATTGGTCAGCCAAGGGGGACACATAATTGTTTTTTAAGAATGCTTATTATTACTTCTTTTCTGAATTGTAAACAATGTGATATCACTTCCTGTCTCTTTAAGACAATAGAATCTTGATAAACTATGTGATAAGCCTGTTTACTTTTCAGGAGCGGTAGAGGATTACATCTGTTGACCTACCCCTCCCTTCTGTGTGTTCAGATGCAGAAGGTGTGCCCATTGTGGTTACAAATCAATGCACGAAGGCTCTGTGAGATCATTGGCCCAGCATTTTTGCAGAGTTCTCAATTGCATGGAAGCATCTACTTTGCTTCCAGTTGTACACATACCACATAGGACTTTGTCCACACTGATGAACACACAGAAGATATGGGCAGGACCAGAGGATGCAGTCTTACTCTCCACCGTCACTTTTCACATATTGAGTGAATGCAATTTGCAAGTGTGAGCAGGACTGCAGTTGCAAGTTGACAGATCTGGAACTCTGACTTTGTAGTTAATGCTTAGCTCTTACTCAAAGTAGCTTTGTAGTTGACAATATTGTTGTCACCTTGATGCAGAGAGAAAACATAAGAGCACAAATAATGCAAAAAGATTTTCTCTCTCTCTCTCTTACACACCCACACACCAATATGTACATTCACCTGGGAGTGAGCCCCACTGAAAGCAGTGGAACTTATTGCTGTATAAATACATATAGGATTGTGCTGGAATTTTAGGGGATGTTATATGCACACATCCTTCAATTCTCCTTGTGGAATATACACTTTGTGACTAATATGTCCATTTCAGAAAGATTTTAGACAGAGGAGAATCTGAGCAAGTTGCCCCAGAAGGCCATATAATCTCACTTAATGTTCAAGTATTGTCACATTTGCTATTCTTTCATTGGATCTTTGACATGCCTCCTTGCTGGTTGCTGGGCAACCCAGAACAGCATTGTGTATACATGTTAGGGAATGGCAGCCGCTGTTTCCTGTGAGAAGACAAAATCTCAAAAGGTAGCATTTTCAGGGTGTGTGGAAGAGAGGGTGGCAAATATTCTAATCTTGTATGAATTAATAGCTTTAGAAGAAAGGGTATTCATAAAAAATGATTTGATATAAAAAGAGGAAAACACATACAGAGGAAAGCTCTGCTTTGCCCTTTAAAAAAAACAACTTGACTCAGGTTTATTTTTACTTTCAGTTTGTTTGGACAGAGTTTGATTTGTGTGTGGCCATTCTGGAGCCAGCTTCTGTGCAGAAAGATTTAGCTGAGATTTGAGTAACACACAGTCCTGCTATAAGCCCTCTAAAAGCAAGCAGATGGAGAGGCCATGTACAAACTCATAACAATGTGAAAGCAGCAGACAAGATAAGACAGAATTTGTTGTTCTCCACAGAATAGAATTCTGATTGCAAAAGTGTGGCTTTTGTCTTTGCTGCAGGATATTCCTGTTACACTTTTTTTGGATTGTTCCATTAGGGTGGTGTAGAAAAGACTTCAAGAAAAGAAAAAGTGCTAGAGGAGGAATTAAAAGAAAGGACTGTAGCTTAATGGAAGGGAACGTGGGTGGCGCTGTGGGTTAAACCACAGAGCCTAGGACTTGCAGATCAGAAGGTCAGCGGTTTGAATCCCCGTGACGGAGTGAGCTCCCGTTGCTCGGTCCCAGCTCCTGCCAACCTAGCAGTTCGAAAGCACATCAAAGTGCAAAGTAGATAAATAGGTACCACTCCAGCAGGAAGGTAAATGGCGTTTCCATTGCTCTGGTTCGCCAGAAGCGGCTTAGTCATGCTGGCCACATGACCCGGAAGCTGTACGCCGGCTCCCTCAGCCAATAAAGCGAGATGAGCGCTGCAACCCCAGAGTCATCCGCAACTGGACCTAACGGCCAGGGGTTCCTTTACCTTTACCTTAATGGAAAAGCGAAGGCTGTTAAAGCCACAGAGAGCAATATGGTAGAAGGCTTAGGGTATTCTCTATAGTCCAGCACATGGATAAAGAACATGCATAGCAGGGGTGTGTGCTTGTTGATGGTTCTACCCCTAACCTTCATGAGAACATCGGAAGAGATCCTGCACATGCATGTGTGGACATAAGAACATAGGAAGAGCCTGCTGGACCATGCCAGCAGCCCATCTAGTCTAGCATCCTGTTCTCACAGTGGCCAACCAGAGACTTGTGGGTAATCTGCAAGCAGCACCGTCTCCCCTCCTGTGGTTTCCAGCAACTGGTATGCAGAAGTATTAGTGCCTCTGACCATGGAGGCAGACCAGAGCCATCATGAATAGTAGTCAGTAATGCCCTCTTTGGGTTTTCTAATGAGCACATATAGATGAGAGGTAGGCCCTGCCGCTGAGATGCTCCCTCCCTGCGTATTCATTTTCCCTGAACTGAATTACCAAAAAGGACTGCAGTTGGGGTGGGAGTGAGAGACAAGCAGAATTTTGATTAAGGGAGTTTCTGCTGTTCTGAAAGGACTAGATTGGGGACACAAAGATGTTCTAGCAGCAATAATTCTCAAGCATCAACAATCTATCTGGGCTTAGAGACAGAGTGCATTTGGCTGTTTTGACGGACAGTGTACAGTTACCACGGCAACAGCTCCATCACGGAAAACAGCTGCTACTCCTCAGAGATGAAAAACATGAGTTCACCATTCCACCTTCCCCAACTAAGGCTGCATTCAGACAGCACTTCGTTCCATCTTCCTGGTGTGTCCTCGCCTGATGATTTTTGCCTTTCATGTGATCTTTCACACAAAGTAAAATCCCCATCTTGGAAGACTAGCCAGGTCTAGTCAGAGTTCTAGTGCTCATTTCTATGTTGTTTCTAGAAAAAAATCCTTTTGCAACCCTGGAAACCCGTAATATCAGAAGGGTTTTATTCACATAATGAAATTCTGCATGGCAGTTTGGCATACCGTGCAGTGAATCATGGGGGAGTGGAAGCACCCAAGCTGGAAAGGGAAGGCGAGTGTGACATATCCAATGACATTTGTTATTGTGTCACACCACACCCACTAGTGCGAACGAAATTTAACATGACGCGATGGTATATCAAGCAAAAAGCCATAGTTAGGGAACATTGAAAATTTGGACAGAAGTGCTAGTACCTGTAAACAGCGGCGTAGCGTGGGTTGTCAGCACCCGGGGCAAGGCAAGTAATTTGCGCCCCCTAACCCGTGGATTTGCGCCCCCTAACCTGTGGATTTGCGCCCCCTAACCCGTGGATTTGCCCTAACCCCAGATGTTGCGCCCGGTGCGGCCGGCCCCCCCTGCACCCCCCACGCTACGCCACTGCCTGTAAAACTCATGCAATAAACCCCATGTTTGAATGCAACCTAAATGTGTTTGGATTTGAGGGTTTATAGCATGTTCCCTCTTTCTCTCTCGCTTACACACACACACACACACACACACACACAAACACACACTTCATTTTTTCCTCCCAAGTTGGCAATTTCATTTTCAGTTCTGTGAGAGATTTTCAGACCATTGGGGTTTTTTACAGCGTGAATACAGCTATATTTGGTACATAGCTTTGACATAGCTGTTCCTTGCAAAATAGTTCCATTTGGCAACACAGACTGCGCCAAGAGGCTTGATACTTGGGTGCAATGTTTCTGAGGAGGAAAGGTCACCATGTTGTTGAATGTAACAGTATGTAAAAATGGAAAAAATATGTATCGCCCAAGAAGAGAACTTGAAAGACAACTTGCCACCATGTAAGTACCTGGTGACTTAGGCTCCTGGGTTGCCTATGGCATAAGAAATTGCAGAAGGAAATAGTGCAACACACAACACCCTCGACGGCGTGATTCCTCCCCAAACAAAAAAAGTAGTTGCCAAGTTTCTGAAAGTGTGTGATGTTTTTCTCTTAATTTTGTTTGACTCTTTCCTCACAGGCACTAAAAGATGCTAGCGACAATGCCCGCAAAGACTTCCACCGGGAGGCAGAACTATTAACTAACTTACAGCATGAACACATTGTGAAGTTTTATGGGGTATGTGTGGAAGGAGATCCTCTCATCATGGTCTTTGAATACATGAAGCATGGAGATCTTAACAAGTTCCTCAGGTAAATTCATAAAGAAACATCTGCTAATTATGTACAATAGTGGAAATAGCTTTTAGAGAAATAACGTTGGGCTAGTCTGTTGCAGCAAACAACAACAACAAACAACAACAACAACATTATAGCACCTTAAAGACTAATACATGCATTACAACACAAGTTTTTGTGGACTAGAGTCCATCAGGTATCCACCAGTGTTGGCCAATAATAAGAATATAGCCCAGATATTTCATAACTTGCATGTTGATGGGTTTTGGTTTTGTTTATTATGTGCCACCAAAATTCATGGCTCAAGTTACTATTTCAGTGGGTCTACGCTGAGTAAGACTTAGTCACATACAACCCTTAGCTTCCAATCCTATACATTTTTACCTGGGAGTAAGTCCCATTTAACACCATGGGGCTTACTCACACGTATACATTATAAAATGGCACACATCTCAGGCTAGGGCTGGGAGAAGCTTCCAGTCCACAAAAGGTAGGATTTAGACTCAGGAATGGGGAACATAGGACTCATGAAAATTCTGCAAACCATGGGAAAGAGAAGAAGTATACCCCCAAAAAAACAACAAAAAAACCTGGTGCTGAAACTATCCAGTTGACTTGATGTCTACTTTCCTAAAGTGCTGTGAGAGATCATAGGAACTGAGCCATATGAAAACATTTAAGAACAGGGCACATTCTCAAAATCTGGCTCTGTCCTCCAATCCTGTGTTCCAAAACTATCCAGCCTGAGCTTATAGGATCATCTATGAGTGTATTGCATGGACCACATGATCTGGCACAATTACTGGGCTCCTGGAGATGCCTTTTGGATGCCAAACTTTATTCTGGAATCAGGTATTTTGTTAGGAAGGGTATTTTGGCAGTCATATTACCTAAAGACCACACATCAACAGTAAACATTCCTCAAGATACCATTTTGAACAGAGAAATCATTTTCACTAGCTAATATTCTAATGGCGCAGTCCTACCCATGCCTACTCAGAAGTAAGCCCTATTGAATTTCATAAGGCTTATTTCCTGGGTAAGTGGAATTAAAATTGCAGCCTAAATTAGGGATTGTCCTCACTTCCACTTGGCTTGTTCCTAGAAAGCGTGAGTCCAAGCAGTTTTGCCTTTGCCACACAACTTTCCCCCAGAAAACACTCTCTTTAGCACTAAAATCCAGAGAAAACATGATTGACATTTGCTCTGATTCAGCGATAAACAGCAGGTTTTCCTGGGGGCAAGTTGTGGGGCAAGTGGCAATGTGGACGAGCCCTTAGTTTTTTGCATTTAATTTCAGCTTCCCTGTCAACCTTCATTATCTGTGCAGGTGGTTGTCTGCTTTTTGTTCTTGTACTTACATATATAAATGCATTAGCGTCGAGATGCAGTCAACCACCATTGAAAAATTTAGGAGGCTGAAACTCTAGTGCATGTTTCTGCACACGAGTAACATTTCTTAAGGGCATCCAGTGGATCTAACCCATCCTCCTAGCTTGACACTTTATTAGTATGATAGAGGGAGAAGCGACGTTTAAGGAGGAAAGGGAAGAGATAAGGCCTTGTTGATATCCTGCATCCTAGCGTCCCCAGAAAGCTAGAGGAGGCCTTGTGTTCATGTGACCTGTGATTATGTCAACAGAAATCAGATTCCCAGATGACATCTAAGTCTATGTGTGTACTGATTGTATCACTGCATGGTTTAGTGAATGTACATAGGCTGAGTAGCAGAACTTGCTGCTGTGATGCTGTTTCTTCCCCTTCGTAAGTCCATTGTATACACAACTGGCATCTAATGGATGCTTATACCTTTAAAGCATATTTGAAGCACCTTGTTTCCCTCAAAGCATTCGGGGCCCTGTAGTTTACCACTCACAGAGCTACAATTCCCAGCAGCCCTCAACAAACTGCAGTGCCCAGACTGCTTAGAGGGCAAGAAGGTGCTTTGAATAAAGGCAGGATGTGTTTCACAGCAGGTCCTTCTTTAGCTTTAGAGTTCTTGATGTGAGATACCATTAGCATTCCCATACTGCTTTGCTTTGGAGAGAGGAAGGCTGCCTAAATTGCTGTCACTGGGATACAGGCAGCCTGTGTTTAACAGCGCAGCCATTTCATCCCAAAAAGGCATGTGCCATTTCCACAGGGAGAATACCTTACTGGCAGCCTGGCCTGACACATGTTTACTTGGAAGTACATCCCACTGTGGGCTTTACTCCCAAACAAATGTGGGGAGAGAGATCCATGCTATTAATAGACCGATAGTGCCAGCTGATGTGGCCTGGATGAGCAGCGCAAGGCAGCTTCCCACAATTGAATGCAAACATTAAAAATTCATAATAATGGCACCCGTTTAATAGCATTTGAAGCACTTATTCATTTACATTTGTCTCTTGAGTTTTGATTTGGGATTATACCACAGCAACACATGGTCTTTCTTTTGCACTCTTTCTCTCTGCCTTCTGTTGTTAGTTATTCCTCAAGTTTAGAATGCTGAATTGCTCTTGAGCTTGCGCTTAAGTCTGGCTTCCTTCTGCCATTTGACGCAGCTTAATAAAAGGCTGCTTGCTGATCGTGAGGCAAAGGAACATTTATTTCTTACCCTGCAGCGCCCCCATGGCCGCCAGGAGAAAGTAAACTCTCTGCGTCCTTCACAGTGCTGGCTTCCTGCAGTATAGGGCCAAATTGCAGGCCAGGATCTGAAGGTCAGGAAGCCTTCCTGTGGGTACCATTTAGGCTGAGGAAGCCTAAACAACAAAATGAAATGTGGCAGCCACACACAGCTGTGTGTCTGTTCTAGATATAAATTGGACAAAAATGAAAAAGAAGAGCCAGTCATTTTTATTATTAAAAATCAAATTTAGATGGAAATAATTCTAATGGATGATAGTCAAATATTATTAACAAAGACTAACTACGTACGATATGTGCCGTGACTGCAGAAGGGAGTGCTGCTTCACAGTTTGTTTTTCTGCCAATGTTAAAAGCTGCCCACACAGTTTTGAGGAGGAGGAGGAGGAGTTGAATACATGAAAAAAGGTGTCCTGTTTAAAGAAACCAGCCCTGGGTGCTCACTGGAAGGACAGGTCCTGAAGCTGAGGCTCCAATACTTTGGCCACCTCATGAGAAGAGAAGACTCCCTGGAAAAGACCCTGATGTTGGGAAAGATGGAGGGCCCAAGGAGAAGGGGACGACAGAGGACAAGATGGTTTGGATAGTGTTCTTGAAGCTACCAGCATGAGTTTGACCAAACTGCGGGAGGCAGTGGAAGACAGGAGTGCCTGGCGTGCTCTGGTCCAGGGGGTCACGAAGAGTCGGACACGACTAAACGACTAAACAACAAAGGACAGGGGACACTTGAAAAAAGGACAATCACGTTTTTCTAGGGATGGGTGACAGCCCTACATTTCAGCCACCATGTACATACAACTGTATGCACTTAATATGGGAGTTAGGAATTAAAAAGGGGACCTATATCAGATCTGTGGTGTAATCATAAGGCTTGTGTGAGTTTTCTCACATGAAATGCTGCTGTAGTTAATTTGCGACATTCCAGTCTGTGAAACAACAGTGCAGCTGTTTATCTCTTTAGGATCTGAGTGCCCAGTGACACAACCTTCACATTCTCATGTGAGGGCCACTTGAAAGCATGCGCTGGTCTCCTCAAGCCCATGGCAAGCCAGCCTTGTGCTTCTACCACCTGCAACAAGGATTTTGCTGTTGCTTCCCTCAAAATCTCCTTGCTCATTTTCAAACTCAGCTTTTATTTTATTTTCAAAATGTCTCCAATGATCATGGAAGAAAGCTTTTAAACGTGAATAAAGCAATCTGCTCTACAGCTCAGCAAGCAAAATGATACAGTAATAAAAGGCAGGATTTTGACAGTACAAGTCATTGTGTCCCACCCTTTGGGTTTCTGCTTTGGCCTTTATCATCTTTCTTTTTGTTTTCCACTCTTTTTCATCCTCTTCTACTCCAGTTCCTTATTTGTTTATTCATGTGTTTGTTTAAAAACCCATGTCGTTCTAAAGACACAAAAACAGAAGTGAATGTATGCAAATTCGCATAATTGGAAGACTTCATTCCAGTCACTGCATCTGTATTTTTTGCTCTCTGTTTTGAGCATTTCTGACAGATTGTTAAACTCTCCCCCCAGATATGTATCCTCAGATATGTATTCTGTGTTCTAAGGGCTGAAGGCTGACATTTGTCTTCATGTCAGATTGCACAAGTCCGAAGTGAGAAGGGACTAGGATGGGTACGTTCTGTTAGAATTCCTGCTCCATGATTGCAGTCATGGGATTTTTTCGTCTGTCACATGATGGTGTATGTTTTGACTCCACAGAGTGGGAAGTGACGGAGACAGGATGTTTGTGTTACTGTGTTCCGTGAAGTGGGACTATTGTCCTTTGTTCTTTCTCTTTGCTGTCTGGTGGTAGAGAGAGAGAGAGCCATGTTCCAGTGCCCTGTGTGTGTTTATATGTAAATAAAGTAGATTAGCCAAAATGCTGAGTTGCTGAGGTCTGTTACACAAGCTGCGAAGACTCTGCGGATCCCTAAGTGTGCCGATGTCTGTTGGCATCGGTCTCTGTGGTGTTCGGGCTGAAGAAAGCTTTTGAAGCTCCCGAACAATCGACCAGGAGGGAGAGAACATGCCACTTGGGCATGTGTCTCTGCCAGGGTCCTACTCGAGTGTAGGACGAGTTCCTGACACATTCCATCCCAATCTTTCTTTGTAACTTTTGTCTTGGGTCTTATGAAGGACAGAAGAGGAGCAAAGTTATCCAGCCCATCCCTCCCAGTCACCAGTGCAATAACTATTCTGCAAGATGATAACTCAGAGCCAGCAGGAACACTCACCTAGCGCCATTTGCGTTGTCACTGGTGTAAAACCATTCTGCTTCTGATGTTCTCACAGAGATTGTTCCACAGTTTGTAGTGAGGATTATGCCCTGATTATGAGCAGTAGACTATTTCACCAGAAAGGATGCTTGTGTTTCAAAGTCTCTCTCTGGGACTAATGAAAGAATGCACCCCACCAATTTGTATTGGAATGTATGCTGTAATCTATGCCCGCTGTCCTATGGCTGGCAGAGGGGTGTGTAATGAGCAAAACAAGACAGTTCACGTATATTAATGTTTTGTCTGTTAATAACTTGAGCAACACCCTTCTTCTTTATTTTTCTTTGGTTATTAAGAGTCCATTTCCAGAGCTTAAATGGCATCACCTGCTATAGAGCTTCGGAGGGGTACTACTGAGCATTGAGTACAATAGTTTAATATTATATTTGGCTTTCCTCCATGGAGCCCAAGGCAGAATATGTAGGGTTTCCAAGTCTTGGCAGAGACCAGCAAGTCCCTTTTCATTTGTAGAGACAAGGGCTCATCCACACTCACCCTTTGCCCCTCACTTTCTAGGCATGTCTTCACACTTTCCCAGCCATGTCCAAGTGCTTTGTTTTCTTGCCCTGCCTCTTTCCCCAGGAAAACCTGCTCTTTACTGCTGAATCGGAGCAAACAGCAATTCAGGCTTTCCCCAGATTGCTGTTTGCTCCAGTTTAGCAGTAAAGAGCGGGTTTTTGCAGGGAAAGTCCCAGCGGGGCTTGGACAGGAACCTGGAAAGCCAGGACCTGTGCCTAGACATGTAAGTGTGGATGAGCCTGAGGTCTGTTAATCCAGGCCTTGATGTTTTCATGCATCATACAACTGAGATTCTTAACCTGGAAAAGGACTGTTATGGGAGATATAAACTCAATAAGCACTTTGCTTGCTCTTCAAAACAGATGGTCATTAAAGAGATTGGGGTGCATGGATCTTCATCTCCCATATGGTTCTTCCATTGTGTGTGCGTGTTTTAAACTTAAAGGAAATGAATAAATGGATCTGCTTACACTCTCCTGTGTTCCATACAGGGCACATGGACCTGATGCAGCTCTGATGGCTGAAGGGAGTCATCTAACGGAGCTAACCCAGTCACAGATGTTACATATTGCCCAGCAGATTGCAGCTGGCATGGTTTACTTGGCATCACAGCATTTTGTGCATCGTGACCTTGCCACTCGGAATTGCCTGGTTGGTGAAAACTTACTGGTGAAGATAGGAGATTTTGGAATGTCAAGAGACGTGTATAGCACAGATTACTACAGGGTAAGTGATTTGTTGTTTTTAATAACTTTGGCTTCAGTCTGCCATCTTGTTGCAAGCCAGTAGTTGTGCTGTTATTTTTAGAGGTTGTGTCATTTTATGGACCTTACTGATTATTTTACTTAATTTTGTTCTAAACTGCCATGTGGCTTGTGCAAAGAGTGATACAAAAACCATTATTAATCTATAAAGCAGAAAATGTTAGTAGAGTTGAGTTTAAAGTGTCAAGGATGGACACTTTAGGAAATATATCCTGCTGAGTGCTCCAGTGGGTATAGTATTTGACTTTTATCTGGGAGACCTGGATTAAAATCCCTACCCGGTCATAAATCAATTGAGGGCCAGAGGGCAATTCATTAACTGTTAGACTGATCTTTCACTCTGTAAAACTGAAATATTATACATCTTGTATAATATACACTTTATGGCTGCCACTTTCATACTTGGGGCCAGTTGCACCAGCAGGAGCACAACAGGGCTTTCCCCGCTCCTTCGCTCAGGCCCCACAAAGCTTGGCCAGGGAGGGTCAGGAGAATCCCAGATTGGCACTCCAAGCGGGGGAGATGGGAGTTGGTTCCTTTGTTCCATAATAGTGCAATGTTAAATTCATTCTTTGGCTTTGAAAATAAATAAACCGAGACAATTTCCAGTGGTGATTTCTAGCTATGTATGATATTCAAAAATGCAATTCTGTAGTCGCAGAGAATATAACATGCTGACCACCAGATGTTGGGAAGAAATAGCCGGCTCCACATCTTGCCAGCTTGTCTTGCTTTATGAATTTCCTTGAGCTGTCTGGCTGGCCAAAGTCTCAGACTAGCGTTCTGCTGGAAAATGCCTTCTGCATTTTTTCATGAATATTCTGCATCCATTAATGAGAAAAGAAATTGCATTCCAAAATTTTCAAAGGGGAAAGGAAAATTAAGTAAAATTCTCGTGGGTGAGATGCAAGATTTTTGTTGCACTTACTTTTGAGATGAGCCGAGGTTCTTGTGAGTGTCCTTTCTTTCATTCTACAAGCCATCTCTCCCGTGATCTGCCTCCTTCAGTCTTCCCAAGCGCCTGCCCTGAAAACCCCAGGATGTCATTGCTGGACTCTTTCTGAGCAGGGGAACCCAGGGAGGCTGCCTACTCTGCTCCTGGCAGATGTTCATTTGTGAAAAGAGTAATCTTTTTACTTATAAAGAAATCAGTGTGGATTTATTTATTTTTTTAGGTAAAAGGGAGCACCTTCTTAAAAAAACAAAATCAGTGAGTGCGCCCAGGCTCTCAGTGGTCAGCCTCCCCAGTGTCCTACCCTTCAATTAAAGCCCAGGGGGAGACATTCCTCCCCTGAGACTTAAGATCAGGAAACACCACACTCACTGAAATTATAAAGAAATTCTAAAGCTCCCTGAGGAATGAGGCAGGTAAAGAGAAGCCTCTTTTTCAGAAGAAAACTTTTGAGAAACAGCTTTTGGCACATTATTTTCTCAGTGAAGATACTGACCTACTGAACTCTGATTCTGATCCAACATGCTAGCTGTGAGTTGATAATTATTAAAAATGAAATAGCTGTTTGGCTAATCTTTTCTTTTATTCCTGCTCACGAGTAGCTTACAAGTTTCTTCTGAGACCTGAGAGCTCGCTTGCCATGAATAAGGAAAAAGCATTTCTCAATTAATGCTGACTGGTCAGTTTGATCTGCCACTCATATCAATGATAACACAACCACCATATCTGTTCTTAAGCCTGAGAGAGACCAGATCTTACTGGAAAGAAAATACAGTGGACGCTCGGGTTGCGAACGTGATCCGTGCGGGAAGCACGTTCACAACCCGCAGCATCCGCAACCCGCAGCGCCAGCAACCCACAGCACCACGTCTGCGCAAGCGCGGGTCGTGATTAGGTGCTTCTGCGCATGTGCAAAATGCAATTTAGCGCTTCTGCACATGCGCAAGCACTGAAACCTGGAAGTAACCCATTCTGGTACTTCCAGATTCAGCGCTGTGCGCATCCAGATATCGCGCAACCCAAAGTGTCTGTAACCCGAGGTAGGACTGTATCAGTTAAAAATCATGCATCACAACATTAATGGGTTGCATGTTGCTGCCATCTCACAATGCCTACCTTCCGATGGTGACATAATCATGTTCCCATGCACTTGCGTTTGATTTGTGAACTCCCTGCAGAGCAACAAGCGTTCAGTCATTGCTTATGGATCAATTTGTTGATCAACATACAAAGGACTTCACAAAAGATAAAAGCTTCAGTGCTAAACTGATTATTTATTGCTGTCCTTGTTGCTAACTTCTTTTAATGAGGCAAGTGGCTGTGGTTATTGTAAAGCAACAAGTCATGGGCTAACAGCATTTGGTTTTGATCACATGTAAATAAAGAGTCGTGCTCTTTAGCCACCTCATTCTTCGCTTAGTGGCCTGGTTCTGTGAGAGGACAGAACCGATTTTGAGCAGTTCTGTTGTCTGCAGACATCCTGCTTCAAAAGTGAATTGTTACATATGGCTTAGTGGCAAGGCAGAGGAAACTGCACCACCACACAAGGACAGTATTTATTTTCATACAACTGTTTTAATTAAGAGCCGAAAAAGAACACTCTTATTTTGGTTTGCATTGTCTGTTGCTTCCTCCAGTGATCCATACTTTGCAATTAGTGAACATCTGAACTAGATTTCTGTCACATGTTGTCTTCCCAAGCTTTAGCCTTCCAAGCTAGTACATTGTTACACTACGAAAATGACATCACATCACACGAGCGAACATGACTTTCACGTGCAGTTTTAAGACCTTGGGGCAGGAAAGGGTTGCCACTGGCTAATTTGCACCCACAAAGTTTCAGCACTTTTTACACTTTAAGAGACAATAATGCCTCAAGGGCAGTAGCTTCAAAATAAGTCTGTCTGGCAAGTTAGGTTACATCTGCACCATACATTAAAAAAAACCCCTCTTATTCTACTTTAACAGTCATAGCTTCTCCCAGAGAATCCTGGGGAAGGTGGTTTGCTAAGGGTGCTGGGAATTGTACCTATACTTTTAACAAACTACAGTTCCCAGGATTCTTTGGGAGAAGCTATGACTGTTAAAGTGGCACAGGAGTGCTTTAAATGTATGGTGTGGGTGTCAGCTTAGAGGAAGAGAGATCACAGAGCCAGGGTCGTCTTAAGCATATCCGGCGCCATGGTGCAAAGATCCCTCTGGCACCCCCCCCTTCCCAGAGTTGCCTGCACCGAGTGAGCGAGGGCGTGTGCACCACTCCTGCGGAGTGTCGGCTCGGTTTTTTCCCTTTTAGCTTTCTGGCACCCTGCAGAATTCGGCGCCTGCAGGCTAAAAGGGAAAACACCGAGCTGACGCTCGGCGGGAGCAGCACACGCACCCTCGCTCACTCAGCGCGCTTGTTTGGTGTTCCCCGGACTCTTGCCTAGCGCCCTCCAGAACTTGGTGCCCTGGCGCCCTGCGCTACTAGCCTCTATAGGTAAGACGGGCCTGTACAGAGTGCTTGCTTTCTATCATGGAAAAATATCCTCCCATAACAGGCTTTTCAAACTCTCTTCTGGGAAATCCTGGAACTCCTCAATGGAAAAAAATAAATCAGTAGTGGCAGACCAGCTTCCCCCAAAGCCAGCTTGCCAGTCACTTCTTGTCTTCCCCAGCAGGGGACAAATGAATGCACAAGACTGTTTTAGGACACATTCTAAGGTACGTTTTCAACCCACATGGGACACTGGTGATGCTCCTTAGAGAGCCCTAGGACATGCCCCAGAATCCTTTGCAACACAGAAGGGGCTCCATTATAAACATATAATGGAGTTTATAACTCCACTATAAACATTTCTTAAAGCTATATACTGCCTTTCATCTGAGGATCACAAGGCAGTTTACAATACAAAAAACACAAAAATACATAAAATAGTGACAAAGACAATACCCCCACATACACGCAGTTTAAAAGGCTATAAATATTTTTATTTAAACATCCTCCGTGGGCACTGCAATATAGGAAGGGTTCCTTGATGTCAGAAAGCCTTTAAAATCAGAATCTTAGGTTGTTTGTAGTTTATAGTGCCCACTGTGGAAGTAGGAGAGAAAAGAGAGAAGCAACACAGAACTAGATGGGTAAAATACTACTACTTTATTTGTCATAATTCAAATTAATTTGGCCTGAAAAGGAAGGGCCTTGGCCTTCATCTGCCCAGTTGCTGAGAGGTGGCTTCTGCACCAGCCTAGCCTGGCTGCTAGGTAAATTTTGAAAGAACAGTAGCAGACAGAGGTCCAACTCAGGCGAGTCTCTATGCCCTTAGCCATTCTTCTGGGGTTTGGTTAAGCCTTCTTTCAGATGCTAGATTGGTCCGGTGTACCCAAAGCTCCCAGGACCTCTTAGTTAGCCCTCCTTTATTGCATACTGTCCAAAGTTGCTCCACCCTAAGGCCCTAGTCCCCTTCTAAAGCAGAAGTGGGACAGTGACATCCTAACATTTCCCTGAACCAACATGGGAGGAAATGATTGTCTTGATAAAGACAAATAGTGATAATAATCCTATCCTGGACATGGACAGGACACTTGCGGTACTGAGGCTAACGACATGTCCTGTTGATCCCCATCCATTATGATTGATGAAATCAAGTAGGAGGGGATTGACTGGGAGTGCTAAATGCCACACCACTTGAGGGAGTTATGTCCACCACCTTGAAAGAGGTGGTAGTACAACCCCTCCTGAAGAGGACCAAGAGGTTTTAGGAAACCTTCACCCAGTTTCTAGTATTCCCTTCATGGGCAAGATGATGGAGAGGGTGGTGGCCAGCCAGTGGCAGGTGTGTCTGGAGGAAGCAAATTATCCAGACTCTGGTTTTAGGTCTAGTTTTAGCACCAAGACAGTCTCTGCCACCTTGACCAAGCTATGCGAGAGGGACAGAGTGTGATCCTGTTGGTTCTCCTTAATCTCTCAGTGGTTTTTGACACCGTTGATCAAGGTTTCTGGAACAACTGGGGGGGGGGGAGTTGGAGCCATT